TTGGCAGATCGAGATATTCGGCTCAGAAAACAAGTCTGCCCCATTTCTACGAAGACTGGCAGGCACTGTCTGCCGAGATCGTTACTGCCTCCTACTCTGCAGATTTTCCTTCCTTGAAGGTGAAGGCGGAGCCGTATGTGCAGCTTGTGAGGTACCTGGTATCTGGGCCTGCCGGAATGACGGGGCCTCACTGGACAAGATTCAACCAGCCGGGTCTCTGCGAGGGGCGGTCACCGCTACTTCTAGCTCATCAGATGGCTGCTTAGCTGCAATTTTTGATTGACCATCTGTTTGCTTTACCCGTGGTTTTTTATGGGAAGAAAGAGGAGCAGGCATTGTCCTGGCCGTTGAAGCAATAACTAGACGAACTGCGAGCACGTCGTGTCCGTAGCAGAGACCAAGGCTGCATTGCCTTTTTTCGAGTCTGAATGGGGGCGGGTCCCGAAACGCTATGGTGATGCCTGTAACTTCATGCAGAGACTGTCGGCAGAATATTCTTTGAACCTCTTCAATGGGAAAGCTTGCAAGATCGATGCAAGGCAAAGCAACTTCTACCTGTGGATATCGCGCATACCCCCGGACTGCCACAAGATTCCTTCGCTTGACGACAGCTGTGGGAAGAATCGCGGCGTCGCAAACGGCCTCGAGCTTGCAAGCGAACTGTCGAAGCGTTACGCAGACACTACCATTCTATATGTGAACACGGGAACCATTCCCTACCTCGACCAAGTGTTCCTGATACGCGCGGCGAGCACCATCATTGCAGCGCACGGCGGCGGCTTGTGGAATGCGGCGCGCTGGCTGAACGAGGCGCTGCACCAGCGAATCGTGGAGATCATGCCGATAGGCGGGACGGGAATCTCCTACACCAGCTCATTCCTAAATCTTTGTTAACAGTCTCAGGTCTCTGAATTTTTTCGCGCTGCGCCACCCTTGCGTGGATTTGACTTTTATGTGGGGTTGGGGCCAGTAGGCTGAAGGGCCACGTCATGCAACGCTGACTCCGAAATGCAACGATGGTCGGAATTGAAGCTGGCTCAAGCCCAGCTGTGCTGTCTTTTGTGCCGGGCGCCTCTCGTTACTCAGAGACCTCTCCAAGTTTGTCCCAGTTGTGAACTGCGAGGCGGGCCCTCCGAGAGCTGTTCTCTCACCAAGATGTTTGGCTGCCGCTACAACTTCGTCACGTGCTACGACTGCATAACTCCAAGGAATGGCCGCCTGCCCTTCGAGAAGCTGTTGAAGGCTGTTGAGGCAACTGAGGGCATCCACTGCAACGGGGTCTGAGGAACCGCCCAGCGCCGCCAAGCCAGCCCAAACCCAGAAGCCATCCCCGGAAGCCCCGGAGCTTTTCTAACTCCATGGATGAGTCCGGGATTTAGCGTTTAAGTTTCTCGGGGCTTGGAGAGCATGATCTGCTGTCGGAGGATTCCTGCAAACGTCTGTGCACAGGAAAACAGACATTACAGTAAATTACATCCTATGCGTACATGCATGACTACAGGCATACACACACACACACACGCAC